ACAGAGGAGAAGGGATTGCAGCATGGCCATCCCCCCTGGGGGGGTGATTTCTCGCTTTCTGTCTCTCTGTCTCTCTCTCTCTCTGTCTGTCTGGCGAGCACACACACCCTATAGCAAAAACCTCTCAAAAAAAATCTAATAAAATAAATCTAATCCATAGCTTTTTAAAAGAAGAAATTTTAATTAGTTTAATATGCCTGTGGTAAAAAGAATTCCTATAGTATAAAGAATATACATCTTCTCTTCTATCTCTTGTTACCCGTAACAACCCCCAGGCCCCCACATCCTAAGTATCAGTGTCCTCTGAATGCTTCCAGACGTAGGGTGTGCATCTACAAGTACATCGGTGTACACACCACCATCTTTGTTTTTTGTTTTTAGGTTTTTGCCATAAGGTGTGTAGGCTAAGTGGAGAGAGGCAGAGAGGGGGGAAAGTGAGAAATCACTCCCCAGGAGATATGGCTATGCCTCAATCCTTTCTCTTCCATTCTCCTCTGAGGATTTTGACATACACGCACACATGCCTGGCGTGATTTCCAAGCTGCTGGGACTGGGACTCGAACCATGGTCGGTCATGTGGGAGTCCAGTCCCTTAATCACCATGCCAGCTGCTGGCTCCTTATTTTATTTTTACTCAGATATTATTCACATTGTTCTGGCCTTGATTTTTTTCCTTATCATATTTTAGGCATTGTTTCCTTTTTGTATCCAGAAAATGTCCTTCTTCTTGTTTCTTAAAATTGTGGCGTTCCATTGTTCCTTAGTAGCTGAGAGGAACTGGTTTCAGGATCCCCTGCAGACATCCAAATCCGTGGATGCTCAAATATAAAAATGCATAGTAATAAATGAACTAGTATTTGCATATAACCCATGCCTACCCTCCCGTATACTTTAAGTCATCTCGATTGCTTATAACACCTAATGCAATGTAAATGCTGTGTAAATGGTTGCCATGCTGTATTGCTTAGGGATTAACAACGAGGGAAGAAAGCCTCTACGCGGTCAGTACAGGTGCAACCAATTACTGTTTTTTCCCAAGTATTTTTTACCAGTGTTTGGTGAATCTATGGATGTGGAACACAGATACAGAGGGCTGACTGTATGCCATTGTGCGTATTTTTTTTAACAGTTTAGTATGAAAAATTCAAATATTTATAAAAATAAAGATTAGCATATTAAAATCCATGAGCCCATCTCCAAGCTTCACCCAGGGTTGTTTTGTCTACTCCCTGCTCACTTTCCCCTCTCCAGACTGTTTTGAAGCATATCTGAGACACACTGAATTATTTCTTCTATAAATGTTTCAGTATTTATATCTCAAAGATAAGAACTCTTTGTTTTTCATTTTTTTTTTCCTTTAGTCATGATAAAGCATGCATGCATGTGTGAAAGTATGGGGGAACTCCCAAAGGGTAATGGTCATGCTACAGTCCTTCTTCCTCTAGTCCTCCATCCCATCAGTATTCCAGACATGTGTGCACAAACTCAAGTGTGGCCAGTGGGGTCAAGGTTTGAACCCAGTTGCCATGTGGGGTCTGGCTTCCTATGTGCAGCACTTGACCATTTGGTATGGAGCCAATGATAAGGGCTTTTTTCTAAAAAAAAAAAAATGATTCGTTTGATTCCATTTGTTATTATTTTCTTTTTTGGAGAGGTTTTAGCTATAGGGCGCATGCACTCTCCAGAAAGACAGAGAGACAGAAAGTGAGAAATCACCCCCAGGGGAGATGTTTATGCCACAATCCCTTCTTCTCCATTCTCCTTTTGGGATCTTGGGCATGCACGCACATGCATCCAGCGTGAATTTAAGCCACCTGGTCCGGGACTCGAACTGTGATTGCCCACATGGGAGTCCAGCGACTTAGCCATTACGCCAACTGCTGGTCCCTGATATTATTATTTTCTAATCCAACCAGAGAAAAACAGAGAGAGAGAGAGAGAAAGGGAAAGTGAGAGCGCAAGCCACCAGGTCCGGGACTCAAACTGGTTGGCCAGGTGGGAATCTAGCACCTTTAACAACCAAGTCACGTGTTGGCCCAGGTAAGGGTGTTTTTTTGTTTTGTTTTGTTTTGTTTTCCTGGAGAGGTTTTAGCTATAGGGCACATGTGCTCACCAGAAAGAGAGAGACAGAGAGACAGAAAGCGAGAAATCACCCCCTGACCCAAGGGGGATGGGCATGTCGCAATCCCTTCTCTTTCGTTTTCCTCTCAGGATCTTGGGCGCGCGCACACACACACATGTACACACGCCCAGTGCATTTAAGCCACTGGGTCCAGGACTTGAACCACAGTTGACTATGTGGGAGTCCAACAATATAGCCATTATGTCAACTGCTGGTCCCAAGGACTCTTTTTCAAAAAGTAAACAATAAATACCTAATACAAGCTAAGTATCTTTTATTCAAAATGTTTGGAACCAAAATTGTTTTGTATTTAAGATTGTGAAGGATTTTGGAATATTTGCATATACATAATCAGATATCTTGGGAATGGACTCCGAATCTAAACAGAAAACTCATTTATGTTTTATACATACCTTATACACATAGCCCCTAGGTAGATTTCATACAATATTTTTGTACCGTGATGTTTTGACTGCAATTTATCACATGAAGTAAGATGTAAAATTTTCTCCTTGTGGAATCATGTCGGTACTCAAGAAGTTTCAGATTTTGGAGGTTTTCAGATTTCAGATTTTTGTGTTTAGGGATGTCATCAAAGTCCGTGTTCAAATTTCCCTGAGCATTTTGTGCTTTGAAAAATGTTTACAGTTTATTTATCTGAATCAGATTCAGATAAGGTTATATATCTCTTAAAGCTGACTGTTCTTTTTTTTTTTTTAAAGGTCCTTCACTATAGGGTACGTGTGCTCGCCAGACAGACAGAGAGAGACAGAGAGACAGAAAGCGAGAAATCATCCCCCAGAGGGGATGGCCACACCGCAATCCCTTCTCCTCCATTCTCCTCTTGGGATCTTGGGCACGCACGCACACGCGCACGGCATGAGTTTTAAGCCACCGGGTCCGGGACACGAACCGCGGTCGACTACGTGGGAGTCCAGCGACATAGCCATTACGCTAACTGCTGGTTCCCAAAGCTGACTGTTCTTTTGAACTTATAAAACAATTTAAACTTTTTATTATAAAAAATTTCAAATATAACTAAAAATACATAGAACGATATAGTTTGTTTTCTTGTTTTATTTGTATTTATTTACTTTTTTAGACAAGGTCTTGCTGTATTGTCATCCTCCTACCTCAACTTTCTTTGTTTTTTTTTTGAAGAGATTTTCACTGTAGGGCGCGTGCGCTCGCCAGACAGACAGAGAGAGACATAGAGACAGAAAGCAAGAAATCACCCCCCAGGGGGGATGGTCACGCCGCAATCCCTTCTCCTCCATTCTCCTCTTGGGATCTTGGGCACGCACGCACACGCGCACGGCATGAGTTTTAAGCCACCGGGTCCGGGACACGAACCGCGGTCGACTATGTGGGAGTCCAGCAACATAGCCATTACGCTAACTGCTGGTTCCCATCCTACCTCAACTTTCTAGCTGGGGCTACAGGAATGCACCACCACACCTGGTTCTTTCAGACAGGGTCTTGCTATGCTTCCCTGGCCAGCCTTGAGCTCATGATCCTCTGTCTCAGCC